TGGTCCTCTGCATTCTAAAATCTCCACTCGCTCTCCCTCTCTCTCGTCTAACTATTTGGCTGATTAAGTCTTGCATGTAATAGAGCCTTTTCGAGCAGAGGAGCCCCCACCGTCGCCGCCGCCCCTACTTGCCCGCCAGCTTCACCTCCGTCATCTGGGCGAGGTCTTTCACGCCGGGGGCGTTCGCCTCATTGTAGCCCCGAAGGCCGGCCTTGCAGCGCGCCAGCCACGTCGTCACGTTCCTGTGCTTGCTCAGGTCGATGCCGCAGACCTCGAAGGAGGACACGGAGGCGACCAGCACGAAGTCGGCGACGGTAATGCTGTTGCCGGCGGCCCAGTCGTGGCCGGCCAGGAACCCGTCGAGCCAGCCCAGGGCTTCGTGCAGCTTCTCCAGCTTCGCCGGCTCGAGCTTCTCCTGCCCGAAGAACATCACGGGGTACTGGCGGGGCGCGGGGAGACAGGGCGGTCAGTCGTGTGTTTATTATGCGTTTTTGATTTTTATGATTTTTTCTTCTTTCATTATATGAGTATGGTGCACTTGTAACAATAACGCTTATTATTTGAATACAGTACGATGAAATGGGAGTATTCTTTTGAAACTCGCGTACTCACTGTAAGGAATCATTTATCAGTTATTCGTAAAGAGCTTACGTTTCATCAGAAATCGAAAAACAACTTAAATTAATGATTTAATTATTAAGAAATGAATAATGGAAGGTATCCATCAGAACCCTTTAAACGAAGAAACGGAAAAAATAATAATCATGATAATGATGACGATGATAATATTATGCTACTAACATGATAATAATAGTAATAATAATAATGGTAGTGGTAATAATAATAATAACAATACTACTGCTACTAATAATAATAACAATAATAATAACAAAAATGATAATAATGATAATAATAATAATAACAAAAAAAATAATGATAATGATAACAATAATAACAATGATAATAATAACAATAATACTAATACTAATTATAACAATGATAATAATAATAACAACGATACTACTACTACTACTAATAATAACAAAATAAAACAATAATGATAATGATAACAATAATAACAATGATAATAATAACAATAATACTAATACTAATTATAACAATTATAATAATGGTAATAACAAAAATAATAATGATAATGATAATAACAGTGCTAATAATGATGATAACGATAACAATGATAATAATAATAGCAATAATAATAATCATTATACTACTACTACTAATAATAATATCAACAATAACAACAACAACAACAGGAATAATAACTGCAAGAAGAGCAAGTAAACGAAGGAAAGAAATCAAAGCAAGAATCAGAAGGACGACTCACCACATACTCTCCGAACCTGTGGTAGAGCGTGCCCATGTCGAAGTAGAGGAGGCGGTCGACGAGGGCACGAGTCAGCGGGTCGGACGGGTAGAGTGAGTCGTCCTTGGCGTATTTGTTGACCAGGTAGGTGCAGATGGCGCGGCTGGAGAGGGGCGTAACGTAATTTTGGTTGTTGAGGGAGGTATGTTAGTGTAATTATTATTATTATTATTATTTTTTTTTTTTTTTTTTTTTTTTTGGGGGGGGGGTGTTTTATAGGGTAAGGATAAGGTTTAGGGTGTGTGGGTCCTGTGTCTTGGGTGGTGAGGGAAAGGAGGTGATAGGGAACGCCTAGAGAAGCTGTTTAGTGGTGACTGTTACCAATATGTAAAGGTGAGTCAGCCTACTGTATTCGCCTAAATTAATGAACGGGAGTATAAATAGCCTAAACAATTACTCGGGGAAAGTCTCTATGATGTTTAGACATCAGTACGAAAGACCCTGAGATCAAGTCACAAGACCCGGACAAGAGCGCTTCCCACAGACGCACCTCTCCCACAGCTTCAGGTTCCCGTCGACCAAGGTAGGGATGCAGTGCTGGGGGTTGATGGCCACGAATTCGGGCTTCAGATGTTCTCCCGCCGGCAGGTTGAGCACCTTCAGGTTGAGTTCGACACCCAATGCCTTGGCCGTCAGCATTACCGACCGACAGGGTGCTGATATAGGCAGGTAGTACAGGTCTATGGGCATTTTGGTTCTGCGGGGAGAGAGAGAAAATGACGATATGCAATATTTTAGGGTGAATATCATTGTTGGTGACTGACTGATGAGGAACAGTAAAAAATGGCTGAAGAGCGATTTCCACTCACGAGTCCCCAACATGCTAAACTCTCTTCTACTTTCATCCCCTCGACACACATTCCAAGATAGAAATAAAGAAATAAATGATAACATAAATCAACAATCTCTTTGAATCACTGACATTAAACACAATTAGTTTTAGTACCACTATACTCGATAAATAGTATGATATGAATCACAACTTACTCGAAGTTAGTCTGCGTCCTTCTTACTTACGTTGCTTCTGTGCACTAATATGCTGTTAATGTTTCCTAGTGTCTTTTACCTTTAGTTTTAACCGTCACGCTTACTCTGCATCACTTCTTATGCTGAGCTTGCAATCTTCGTTAAGAAAAAAGAAAAAAAAATATTAATCTTATCTTGTCCTAACCATAAAATATGATAACGAACCCACGGTAGTAATGTTTAAAGATGGTAGAATTGATTAATACAAATCTCACTGAAATATCACAACCAACCTAACTATAAACCATTGGCTTTCGGAGTTATGATAATCTAAAGTTTTCTGGATTAACGCAATTTGCAAAGAAACCAAGGGATCGCCATAAAGAATGTTGTAAAAGGATCAATTTCAAGGGTATTCAGGTTATCTGATCCATGTGTGTATTGTGACATTTTTTCAAAGCATAAAGTAGCAAGATAAAGGACTGTGCTGCCAAAAACGACCCATGATCAATAATAATAATAATAATAATAATAATAATAATAATAATAATAATAATAATAATAATAATAATAATAATAATAATAATAATAATAATGGTGATGATAATGATAATGATAATGATAACAATAATAAAACAAAACAATAGAAACAAAAAAAACAGCAAAACAAGACAAATAATAATTCATATCGATCACAATCCAACACGGGCAGAACAAAATACAAAAAAAAAATGTATTAAAAAGAAAAGAGAAGAAAAGAAAGATATAAGAAAAAAAAAGTCAGAGAGAAAGGAACCCAACGACCGTTTATGAGTAAGAATTAGTTATCGTTGACAATTTTATCGATTCACAATGACAAAGAGAACGCAGCGAATGGATGCTTCTCGATCATGTGCGTTTACTCGATAACGTGACCTGGTGACGTGGTGATAATGATAATGGTTGTCATGATCATGGAAATTCAATCTGTTATATATATTATCATTATCGTGTTCATCACGATGGTTGTATTACGGTTATACAAACATCGACACTGATAATAACAATACGATAATCTATTACAACACTGACTCTATCAAGTAAAAAGATTATAAAACCTTATATCAAGATGAGTTACTTTTCCCAATATGTTAATTTAGTCTAATATAACTTGATATAAAACGACTAAAATCATCTGCGCCTGTTTTCAAAACCGCCGCATTCACAGATAAAAGTTTTTGTAAAAGGATCCACGGGGTTCTGAGGCGTTGTGGGAAACCAATGTGGCAAACAGGAATTTTATTGTGCTCGCGGACACATGAGCTAATTTTAGACAGTCCGGTTTCAAGCAGGCGCAGTGAGGGAAGATGAGAGAGGAGTTTTGACGTACGATTCAGAACGGGGGGGGGGGGGGGGGGGGGGTCTGAATTCTTTGCAGGTGAAAAATGGGAACGATCACTTGCTTCAGTTTCTTTTTTTGTATCGTTGTTTTATTCTTTAGGGTGACAAATTGCAGCGTTCTCTCTCTCTCTCTCTCTCTCTCTCTCTCTCTCTCTCTCTCTCTCTCTCTCTCTCTCTCTCTCTCTCTCTCTCTCTCCCTCCCTCCCTCCCTCCTCTCCTATTTTTCACCCCCCTTTGCCCTTCCCTTCATTCTCCTTCCACCTCCCCCCCTTTCTCCCTTCCGTAAAAAGACAAAGAATTAATAGAGCATTAATGACGGCCGATCGTTCACGGGGTCACTGGGCCATTATACTGTTTGCACCTTTAATATTCGGCAATAAAAGAAATGGATGATAGTTGAAATAAAAGATAATGTATAATAGGAATGTCAGAAGCAGCTGTGATGGTAACGATGATGATGGTTTTGCTAATGGTGATAATGGCGAAATTTGTGCTAATTGATTCGTAACAGACATAAGAATGACATGGATGAAAATGCGAGGGAAAAAACGCAGAAACGAAAGATAGGAATAGAGTTTTAAACAGTTCATAGGAGTTAGTTCGCCCGCAGCTTTTTCAGCTAGAGTGTTGGTTGCACTTGCACTTGCATTCCTCGGCCATATCCTCTCTCGCTAAGTGCAACCGTGTGCTCGTATTGCAGCCAGGGGGAGGCGGAGAGGGGGGGAGGTGCGAGGGGCGCTTGTCCGCAGATGTTGCACTGCACTAGAGCCGCCCCCAATCCTTAGCTCATTCTTGTTATGGGGGGGGGGGGTTAGGAGACGGAGACTGAGGCCCAAGGAAGGGGATCATCCTGGCTTGGCCCTCAGCCCTCGCCTTCACTAATTCCTCATGGTCTCTTCTTCTCCCCCTGTCCCTTTCCTTCTCTTCTTCCGCCCCCTCTTCTTTCCACTTAATCGTTAACTCATGTTTACCCTTTTCGCCATAATATTTTAGCATAGTGCTCTGTGGTCTTTGATGTCTTGCATATTTATTTGTTTTAATCATTAACCAGTAGACCCGTTGTGCACAGGCTAATGAATCAGACGATAATGATGATGATGATTCTAACGATGGTGACGAGGGTCCTAGTGATGAAGATGATGATGTTGGATCATCATTGACGATGATAATTCTGGCGATAATAACGATGATTGTGATTATTCTGACGATCAACGAGGGTCATTACAAACCAACGCAAGACCAGATACGTAGGAAATGTTTTTTTTTTTTTTTTTTTTTTTTTTTCTGTCCAAAGTATATAACTTTAAGAAATGAATGAACGAAGACACATCATACAGTATAATGCAGTGCTCACAATACCTCTCTTCTGATCAGCTCACAATACACAAGGCAGTTCCATTGTACAATATAGTGCCTTCGCTTGAGTTTCACCGGGGCCTCTGGGGACGTCACTAACTGGTGCTTCCGCTTGCAGTCGTGCTGCAAAGTTGCGAGTTTTGCTTTGATTTAGAAACAGATGTTGGCGATATTTAGAGTACTGGTAGAATGATGATTGCATTGATGATCATAAGGATAGTGTTCTATGATAGTGTAATATTCTAAAAATGTAAACGGTAGATTGTATCAGTGTTAATAACCGTATTTTCACCTCTCTCTCTTTCTTTCTTTTCTCTCTCTTTCTTTCTTCTCTCTTCTTTTCTTCTTCCTCCCTCCTATCCCTCTCTCTCCCTCTCTCTCTAATCTCCCCCCCCCCTGCCTCTTCTCTCCTTCCCCCTCAATTACTCTTTCACTCGCACATCCCCCCCACATCTCTCCTCCTCCTTCTATCTTCCTCTCTCTTCTCTTCTTCTATCTTCTCTCTCTCTCTCCTCCCCTCCCTCCCTCCCCTCTTTCTCTCTCTCTCTCTCTCTCTCTCTCTCTCTCTCTCTCTCTCTCTCTCTCTCTCTCTCTCCTCCCTCCCTCTCTCCCTCCCTCCTCCCCCCCTCTCTCTCTCCTCTCCCCCCCCCCCCTTCTCTCTCTCTCTCTCTCTCTCTCTCTCTCTCTCTCTCTCTCTCTCTCTCTCTCTCTCTCTCTCTCTCCCCTTCTCTCTCTCTCTCCCCCCCCCTCTCCCCCTCTCTCTCTCTCTCTCTCTCTCTCTCTCTCTCTCTCTCTCTCTCTCTCTCTCTCTCTCTCTCTCTCTCTCCCTCCATTTCCACTCACCCACCAACAAGCACTCCTCGAACTTTTAATCTTCCCCTCCCAGTACCCTTCCCTCTGCCTATTGAACTGCCAAACACCCGATCTATTTGCCTCCCCCCCTGGCCTAGGAACCCAAACAGCCATGCCAAAGGTAAATATCTGGAACACTGAGCCATTCACTGTGCCGACAATAACCCCCAAAACAACAATAAACTGTTACGCTAGATGAGTATATAGTAACAAGGGAATAACGCACCATCTGCAAACACAAACTCCGTTACTCGAGTCAACAATGCAATGTGTAGGTTTGGTTATGTTGAACTGTGGCTTGTTTTTATTTGACGAGAGAAGTCTATGGGATTCTGACTGAAGTGTGAATTCTGCCTGTCTGATGGTTCGTGTGAATTAGACAGCTTTTGTACAGTTGGATAAAGGGAGGAAGGACCAAGATAAATAAGTAACGAGAGACATATAAACTAGAAGGATAGAAGAAAGTCGGGAAGCCTGGTTTATTTTTTGGTTTGCGCAACCGTTGAGTGTCCGGTCGCAGTTATGATAGATACGGGTGACGTAACAGTGCTATGCGAAATGACGAATAGATATTGTTAACTCGATATAGAACACAAGGATTATATTTTTCAAAAATAACAGAAGAGCAGGTGACACAAACATTATACTACGCCGGAAATTCCCTTTTTTTGGAAACCCTTTTCGTTGTTCTTCCCTTATGGAAAATTTCCTGAATACGTCCTGAAGCTGAAAAAATGCACTTACCAATGGAGGAAATATCATATCAATTTCTACGTAAAAATAATGTATACAGATCACAACAAATCACGGTTCTTTCTTAGGATTCCTTCTTTTATCTGATCAATTTGCATTTGTTCGAGAAATGTTGCATTGCATTGTATAAAGAGCTTTCAGTCGTTAGCCGCAGCCGTTAGCGTAACCAGTGGTCAGTGCTTCGTATATGTCCAAACACAAACACAATAACGTGTACACAGAGATGAAAAGGAACTTGCCACTACGTCTCGTCAAGATTTCCTCATCAGACGGGCAAATTCCAGGTTATTGGCCCGTCTGATGAGGAATCTTGACGAGTTCGAAACATTGCGATTCAGTGTCATTTCTTATTGTGGCTGATTCCTTTTCACCTTTTGGTACACGTTAATGTGTTTATGTCCATATACATAAATATGTATGTGTATATATATATATGAATATATACATATATATATATATATATATATATATATATATATATATATATATATATATATATACATATAAATAATATATATATATATATACATATATATATATATATATATATATATATATATATATATATATATATATATATATATATATATATAAAGGTGTGTGTGTGTGTGCCTGTGTGTGTGTTTGTGTGTTCTTTTCTTTTCCTGAAGCAACCACGACAGAGAAAGGTAGTCCCGAAAGGGAATTCCCTCGGGGCCGCTCATAAGTGAGCCAGACAGGCAAGCGATGACTTCCTTAACCCTTTGGCTTTGGCAGATCACGTGTTTGTGACGGGTTTTTTTCTTTTGTCCGCTCTTTTTACTATC